AATATCGACGCAGAAGGTATGGTATTGATTGTTTGCTGCTGTTGCACTTCCGTACTTCACGCATCTACTTTCTCCTCACATAACAAACATGCACTCAGTGGCGTTGCAGCTTTTAATTGTTAAGGTGATCTCTGATGTCGTTCTACGGACATTTTGTCGTAACTCTTAACCAATAGTTATTTAGTGGACAAATATTTGTAAGGATCAGGGTGATACTTAAATGTAAATTTCAAATGTACCTAGTGATTCTATTGCTTCTAGGGAGCATTAGAATTTGTGGGAAATTACCAAAAAAGGCTATGTTTAATTTTCAGTTGATTTTGTATTTGTCTTTTATCGTGTGACAAATGGTGATACAACCATTGCTTTTTTATGCTCCAGCTACTACGAAGACCTAAGTCCTAAACACCCATGGGGAACCGTGGAGCTATAGGGGGATACAGGGAAAAGGAGGTCGCCACATGGACTCTAACGAGGGAACACATGTTCATGCAGCATGCACAGATTCGTGTTCATATTCAAATTAAAAAATGATTTCTTACCACTACATACAGGGTATTAATTAAGTATGCACAAATCCAGCACAGGTCCGCAGATTTCCCGTTCTCAAGATGCAGAGTGTTAAAATTAAAAAAAATCTGCAAATGTCCTAAATATTCCTTGCTTATATCATAATCACAAAAACATAATAAAATACTTTGGAAAATAGCAGCAACGACTACGAGGTATTGAATCTGCAAGTTTGGCGGAAATTGAAATCATCTGGCAAATGAAAAAGCTCTCTCTGTCTGGAGTGTGGGAGTGCTTTTTGATATCTAGCGACAACGAGTGTTCCTTGGCAGAACTTATTAGGCACACAACTTCATTCTGCGTTACAAATTGTCAGAGGATTATTTCTGAAAGTATTGTCTACGAGATAGTTCTGACAACTTTTCGATACATTCAGTATCGGGATTTAGGCGATGACGCGTCCTTCTTAATATCTTTTGTGTGTTGATGTCAATCATTCTGCTTAAAATGCTACTGTTCAAGTCCGTTCGTATCCACATCTACAGGGTGACTTCGAAGTTGAGTCATTTATTTTAACAGTGAGCAGTTCTGATCAAAAGAAATGTTTTTTTCCTTTACCATTTTTCTGGTAAAATTAAAGTAACAAAGTTATAGCCCTTTGGAAGTTTGAGTACCGCCCTGTCTCATTAATAATATTATGTGCTCGTGTTTGGCAACAACGGATATAATCCGCCTTATCGGTTCATCGCATCGGAAACAAAAAAGCGAATGAATTTGGAACGATGTTTTTACAATTATTTTATTCAGTTGTATACAGTCAGTGTCAGTCGGTAACGCGTGAGTGAATAGTGGTGTCTGTTGCGTGGCTCAAACGAAATCAAAAATGGCACATGTTTACGAAAATGCTGAACTTGTGGACATGATTCTTATTTACGCGGCATCACGGATTTATGCGGATCGGTTTCCCAATCGAGTGCAACCAACCCCTCGTGCCATTGTTAATGTAGCGCAAAGGGCTCGTGAATCAGGTGACTTAAGACCTCACAGGGGAAGGCACGCCGGTGCTCCGAGACCGCACGATCAAATACAGGTCCGCACTGAAATACTTGTCGGGAAGATACTTTATAAAACAAGGTAACATTTTTTTTTTTAATTTTTTTTTATTTTTACACACATATTTTGGTTTATCTTCCTTCTACAATCATTATCTGAAAATTAATGACTCAACTTCAAAGTCACCACGAGAAGCGAAGTCTACTTTGGTCAGGAGCTTTTTTTTCATATTCATAAAAGTACGACCTCACACTGTCGTCTACAGATTTCAGGACTTCTATTTCAGACAACTGTTGTGTTATTTTACAACTACTTATGTTTTGGTTGCAAAAACAGTAACAGATATGGGACGAAGAAGACCCAGGGACACACCAGTATAATTTTGTAGTAGAGTTACCTTTCTAATTTTCCAATGCATTTAATTCTGTCTAAAATATATTAACAACTGTATGGATTGACGTTTAATATTCGTAGTGAATCTGACCAATGCATGTATTACACATTATGTCACCAATGTGTACAAGACAAATAAATTAAAGGGGCATTATACGTTTACTTGCTCAACATCCGCAGCCTACAATAAATACAAACGTGCAAGTCTCGTATTGATCAAATCACATCAGAATGTCGAAGCTGCCCTAGTAAGACCAGTGAAAATACTCAGTATGCAAACATAATATGAAATTGATACGACTTAACTTTTCAATCATAATGATACATTAATGTAGATGTAGTTACGCTACTTTCTTTGTTGATTACATAGCGTGCTACTAGGTATGTTCCGCTCACTTCACTTGTTATTCCTATACTTTCTACACCTTGCAGGTTCAAGTCCATTTTTGTCTTATGCAGCAACAACACCAATTAAATAAGAATGTCTTCATCAAGATTACGTTTTTGTTTGAAACTGGCACGAAACTGTTTTTATTTGTAAACTAACGGTTTTATTACCAACAATAATTGTATGCCGTGTAGAATTGAGATATGAGCTTTTACTTCAGATTTGGGGGTGAATAGAGCAGTAGGTATAACCGACAGAGTTGGTAATGAGGTTTCAAGAAATATGTAGATTTGCTGCTCAAAGAAGAAATTTCGAATCTGGCTCAAATCTTATAAAAGAAATTCAATTGTTAGCCTACACTTCCCGAAGTAGTAGTTATGTTCAAACTCATTATCAGAATTAAATATAGTTACTTATGCTTCAAGGACGTAAATCGGGCATTTATGGCTCGCGGCGTGAAATCAGAGTTCAAACCTCATATAAAGCATCTTGGAAATATAAGAACATACAAGAATTTTAAATATGAAGTGAAATCGTTTTTATCGGGTGAAGGGTTTTATCGATTGGTGAACCTTTAGAACACAAACACAAATAATATAATTAAATATCAGTTACCTAATATTTGTGCGAATCTTAACATGTTAAAGCTACTTTCTATCAATAAGGTTTTTGCTGTGATGTTTTATTTGTTTATTTATTTGCTTATTTTTTTTTTGTAATGACCTGCCATATACGAACCCCTTCGCACTTCAGTTGGCCCAACTATTGAAATCTTAGTTTTTTCTTATCAAACACAAATAATAAAAATGTAGCAGAGTGTTATAGGTTTAAAATATTAACAATCAATATTTTGATAATATATAGTAGAAACCATCAATTTTATTACTCCCTAATCAAATTTGCAGCATAAAAATAACACATGTTGCAATTACAGTACATCAACCTATTTTCCTTTCAATGCAAAATAAGTCTATAACGCATAGGTGGCTGTGAAAAATAAAAGCCATGACAATTGTTTTTATTATTCACAGCTGTCAGAATACGATTAAAATAGTTTTGGGTAGTTAAGGTTTTCAAAATGGGTAGAGGAAAGGTTATTAGTGAGAAAATTCGGTTACTGATAATTAATTTTTTTAATTCTGGGAAATCAAACTCAGAAATTGCAACTTTGTCAGACTTATCGCGTGACTTATTACAGTGTGAGAAATATTGTTAGAAGATATAACGTAACTGGTTCAGTTAATATTAAGCCACGATATGTGAAAAAAAGTAATATCACAAATGCCGACCGAAGCGCATTAAGAAGAATAATCGTGAAAAACAGGCATGCCAATTATTTACAATTAAGTGCTCTGTGGAGTGACGCTGTTGGAAGGAGAATTTCGAGGTCCACAACTCATAGAGAGGCCCTCAAACTGGGATTTAGCACTTGCAAGGTAAGATTTCTTATAAAAAAAGTGAGGTAAAATCCCTAAAGTTGCGCAACTGGTTTATAGGGCAAAGAAAAGCCACTATTAACTCCACTGCAAAAGAAAAATCGACTTAGATGGGCTAAAGAACATAGACAATGGACACCTCAACAATGGTGTGCAATACAATGGAGTGATGAGGCCCGTCTGGAGCAGTATGTCATCAAAACTAGTAGGAAAACTTCATTTTATTGATGGAAATGTGGATACAAACAAATATTTGGCAATTTTAGAAGAATCGCTTTTACCAGTGATGGAGGAATGTTTGACATCCGGCCAAGATTTTGTCATTCAGCAAGATGGTGCAGCGTGCCATACCTCAAAAAAGGCTATAAAATGGATGGAAGAAAATAAGATACCACGTTTGAAATGAGTTTCTAGCAGTCCAGATCTGTCACCTATTGAAACTTTGTGGCACGAGATGAAAAAGGTTCAATGACAACATCCTGCATGTACAATTACCAAACAGAGACAAAACCTTCAAGAAGTATGGGATTGTTTTACACCAAATTTTTGCCAAAACTTGGTTAACACTATGCCTCAAAGAATTTCAGCCGTAATAAAAAATAAAGGTGATGTTACCCAATGGTAATCTTTCAATTGTTGCTTTGTTAACTTCGCGCATTTATTAGCACACTGTTTATTTGTTCAGATGTTCTATAAGTTATAGGTCTAAGTGATTTCAAATATGTATTTTTTTACGACTAGAGTGTATCTAAAATGTTTTTGGGAAAGTAAATTGTTTTAGAAGAAAATAGTTTCGTCATGCCAAAGAGGAGAGTTTCCAGTTAAACTTGACATGATTTTGAACGTGGGATTCAACGTTAAACCCAAGGTCAACTTTGGAACCTTTGTTAAAATCTACTAAAGACTTTCCCTTTACAATAGTTTTCTCAACATTTTCTGCTACACCTCCAGCAATGTTCCCCAGCACCACATATTTGACTTTCATTTTTTGTCCTTTAGTTGTGACTTTGATCTCAGATTTCAGCACAAACAGTGGGGGTTTTCCATTTAAAAAACAAAAGCCGACCTTGAAGTAACCACGACGGCAAGGTTCAAGGTCAAATCCAAGGTCGCCATTGTACAAAGTTACTAAACACATGATCCTGACCTTTCCCATTCGGAAAAGTACAAGGCCTATCCATTATCTTTGTTACATCCTACATTTCTTTTTTTTGTTCCAGACATACATCCTGACAGTTATCCTGCTTCCAATCAGGGTATCTTTGATCTGCTTCTTCGTTATCACAGGTTGGATATTTGCCAGCATTGGCTTATGGGGCCTCACAGAGGAAGAGTTAAGACAGAAACCGTTGGAGGGTTGGAGAAAGTAAGATATTCCGTTTACTGTTTTTTCGGTAATTTTATGATGATTAAGGTTACTTTCAGTCCATTCAGTACCTCGTAAAATACTTTCTAACGGAATTTATTGTTCTATAAGACAATCTCATTTCGATCATAATTACTGATTTGCAAACCAATTAAGTGGTTTTACGTGAAGGAATTTTATGGTGTGAATGTAAAGATATTTATGATCTAAGAAAGTATGGAATAAGGTAGATACATGGAATGCTTTTTTAAAAATTCGTTTTACATTCAGACTGAAGCTTTGAACCGCTTTAGGACAATTTTCTTATTTGGAAAAGTTTTTTTGGTCCAAATATATCAGTTTTAGCTAAAAAAAGAAATCCAAAGCTTCTTGATCAACAAAACGTACTCAAAATGTAACACATAGGGGAAGTCCGGGAGACTTGCCCCTCCCAATGTATTATTGGTGATAAAATTTGTTCCTATTTATATGAATCAATAAATTTTAGATGCCTTCGTAGCATATATTTTTAGGAACCTTTTTTTTGTCATTTAAACCTTAAAAAAATAAGTCAGAAAAAAAATATATAGTTTTTTTATTTTTTTGAAAACATGGACAACTCTCCCACATATGCGGGAGACTTGCCCATAGTCAGAAGGAGAGTTGCCCACTCCCCTTATTAAATAAAAACAAATGTAAATAATAACTTTTGTATTCGAAAAACTCAAAAAATAAAACAAAAAGTTTTACTTATTCAAGTACGAAACTAAATCTAAATCTTTTAACTCAGAATAAACATAAGTTTAATGCAAAAAACAAATAAAAATAATTTTAAAAAAGTATGAACCCTCTGGACCATCAGAAACGATATTTGATACGAGGGAATATAAAAAAGGTGGAATAACGCTTCCAATTGCATTGACTGCAAAACAAACTGTCACCAAAGTGCCCCTCTCTGATGAAGTAACTTGACCAACCTGCTTAGCTTTTTTACTGGCCAATACCTTAGGACAATCCTGAACTGTAGTACATCCTCACAGTTATAAATATTTTGTGGTTTAAACTTAAATTTTTCTCGTACAATCCTTAAGTTTTGAAAAAAATCGTTTACATTCTTCCGATTGAAGCTTGTAGAACGTGACAAGCTTGTTGCCTCCGGAATTCTTAAACTAATTTCGGGATTTCTTGATAAAAAACCGCGAAACCAATCCTTCCCTGCCCCATACTATTTTTTGACCAAATTTCTGGAATTTTTTTGGAATTCGAAACTGCAAACTCAAAAATTAATTTCATTCCTTGTTTTCGAGTAAGTCCATAGTGCATTTTGCTGCAATTTAAAAAATATTCAACCAGAAGCTTCTCTTCTTGTATGGTGAATATTTATTTGTGAAGTATTATACTAGCCTTTAGTTTCTATTTTTTCAAGTTTATTTTCATTGTTTTTGTAGCGTCTCAAAGTCCTCCGATCAATATCATATTTTGCAGAAGCTTTTCGAAGAATTCCTAGTTCACCTAGTGCATTTTTAAGAACATCCTTATCAAGTTTTTTGCGAGTGGAAGTGTTTTGTACTTAAATGGCATTGTACAGACCTGTAATAAAAAATGCATCAACTTTTACTAAAATTAATTAAAAACAAATACCAATTTAGAATTACATCAGAAAGGGAGAGTTGTCCCTCTGGGCAAGTCTCCCACACCTTTCTTCTTCAGGTTAGGTACAATTTTCTTAAAAATCATGAATAGAGCACGTTTAATATTTATGGTGCATAAATCTACAAAGTCTAGTTAATATACCCACACAAAAATCTAAAACTTACCTTTTAATTTCCCCACAAAATCACGAAATTTGTAAAAGTATTAATTTTTGATTTAAACGCAAAAAGCCTCATGCCTCGGGTCAGATACAAGACAAACTGAGAAAAGTCAACTAGGATTTCGTAGACGCCTAGAAGCACTAGAGGGCGGCCCGTTTTCTCTCGTTTCAGATTATGGTGCGCAATTTTAAAGTGAATATATCACGGAGGGGCAAGTCTCCCACCTGGCAAGTCTCCCGGATTCCTCCATATTCTTTGAAATACAGCAAGATATGTCTCATCAAGCTAGATCTTAAAACTGTTTCATTTCACACATAAACCAAATTGCCCCTTGAAGCAAAGTAACTTTAGATGAGGTCACAGAAGCTGTCTGGAGAACAAATTGAAAAAATGGATTCAGAGTTCAAATAATGGAAATACTAAAATCATCTAAAAAGTGGATTTTGAAGTACGTCTAGTTTTTTATATTGTTGAAGCTTAACTTTCGATAAATCTCCTGTGCTAATAAAATGTAGGATAGGAAATACCAAGAAATCTATAACAACAATAACAGTACCTGTATCAGCGGAATTCGACCATAGTTCACTTATGTTTGTAAACAAAGTGGTCGTTAGTTCACTGCACTTGAACGATTAAAGCACAAATAGCCTAGCAGAAATGTTTGAATCACTTTTTTAATGAGTCAGGAAAATTCCGAACATGGATAAGAAAGGCTGTTACAGTTATTAACTATCATAACACATTATATTTCTGTATCTGTGTTTCTCCCAGTCTCATTCTCAAGAGTGGAACACCTGTCATAGTTTCCAGATTATAAAAAACAACTTATATCTTCATTGGTGTGAAAGTAGACTCAAAGGAAACCTAAGTCATGATTTGTCACGTCGGACGTACCTGACAAGCTGTTTTTGCCATACATACGTGCTTTTCCGATGTGACATTTGAATAAATAAAAATAGACGATAGATTGAAAAAACTAAACTCGTTTTGCTAAGTGCCCAAAGCACAATTTAAGGCTTCTTGACGTTGAGCTGTCACATTTTATTAGGTACGTTTTTAAAAACCTTATTTTTAGACCTGCTGGGTCTGCCTACAGTTTTTTCTGCTTCTTTACCACAGTTTCACACGTATAGCATTTCTTGGCACAAGTCTAGAAAATTGTCAGTTTATCTGTTTTTTACATTTTCTGGAAAGCGTTTTTGTGATCGTCTCGAATACCTAATATAAAATACAAAGGAGTACCGCAGCGATGCGGCAACATTTTTTCATTGAGAAATTATTGTTCTCTTGTTAATAGCCTCCTCCAATCCGTACGCTCCACCCTGATTTGCTGATTCAGGTTCAAGTGCTGGGTAGCCTCGCCTTTATAAAAAGCGTCTAACCTAAAAACCAGATCATAACTTCATTATTTACTAAGAAAACAATTGTTCCCTTTTTAATAGCCGCCTACGATCCGTATGCTGCGCCCTGATTCGCTGCGTTTTCAGCGCGGGCGGATTCAGGATACGCGTATTGGGTCGCCCCGCCTCTAGAAAGGAGGCGCCTGTGGTGGCGCTCGCCCCTCACTCCTCATTCGTCGACAGCGTTGCCATGGTGATCATGGGCGGTCCTTCGATCGTGGCCAAGGCGGAGACGGCCAGGATACCGTTCTTTGGGAGTAGGTGGAGGGCTTTTAGACATTTGTTGTGTAGGCTGATGTGTTGTTGCTTGTGCGAGGCTCTATAAGCATGGAATCGCTCTCTCCAGAAAATATGATCTTAGAAACATATTTGAGATTTTTCGAGATAACAAAAAAGAAAAAAATGCATAAGTTCATATGAAAAGTGTTCTACAGGGCTTCGCTAGATAGATTTAGAGCCCTAAAAGAGTTTCTTGGAATTGTTTTTTAGTGAAATTTAGATCATGGTGAGCAATCAACTCATTTAGATCATCTGGGATGGACTAAGCTCAAGGCAGTTTTGCTATTTTTTACATTCTGTATAATGATAGCTCAACAATACATTTTTGTTGAGTCTGCTTTTAAAGCTGGAGAAGGCAAGGATAGCATGAGCCAATTTTTACTGGGTTCGGTATACTGGTTAAACTATTTAGAAAATGTAGTCTAATAAAAGATTTGCCACCAGTGGCATGAAATGCCCTGTTTAAATACATAACCATCATTCTATCAAGTTTCAGTTTGTTTCGCACTTTTACTTTCTACGCTACTAGATGAAGATTGTAGTCGCGAAATTTTTTTAAATTGACATATTGTGTAAACCATGTAAGTCGGTCTGTTTGTCTGACTAGTTTTTGAAAATCGGTCCAGTGGCTGCGGAGGAAAAACCAAAAACGAAAAAATAAAATCGTCATTTTCAGAAAATTTTCTTTAGAGGCTGAAATTAGTGGGTTGGGGGTTGTAGGTTGTATGCAAAATTTATGATCTTAGCATATCTATAAGCAAAAACACATACACTTATCATGCACGAAATGAACAATAAGGAGCTGCCATGCACTGATGGAAAGAAGCAGTGTTGCCAGATGAACAGAAACTACCGGTAGGACAGGAAAAGTCTCGACTAGTTGTATGATCGATTTAATCCGTTTGATTTCAGTGCTGTATATGTTTATAACTTTTTTCTCAGAAGTAGCATAGAAAGTGTAGAAGCAACCTATTTGTCGCCTCATTTTTGGGAATCTTTTGCAGTGTAAATCGATAGCAATATTGAAATAAAGATAACACAATTTCAAAAGAATCAGGCTCTTCAATGTTATTTAGAACTCATTGTCATATAGGGCGACAAAAAGCCAGCGATACTGAGCCCAAGCTCACCTGTTCCTGGTGGTCTAGATGAGTTAATTATTTTCCATAGGCACCCTCATGTAAGAATCCTACTGGGTCGGTGAAAATGTATTTAAAACAAGAGCGACTTCTATTATTGACACTTAAGGGCCATTTCTTCGTAAGGGACATTAGTAGAACGTTTTCTCTATTGCGAGTTATTAACAAAAACTGTTATCAAAAGAGAAAATATTCAATAGGGAAGAATATCTTGAAACGTTTACACTTAAAAAATCGTCCATCTGAAGATACCGGATACCTATACAGGGCGTCCGCAAAGTTGGGGTTTTCCTTTTCAGAAACAACTACCCTTGAAATAACAAAGATAATGTGTAGTGAAACGAGGGCGACCAAATAAAAAAAAATAAAAGAAAAAGTATTCACTCTCCAGTTGACGAGAAGGGCTAAGTACATCTCTGCCGGAAATCATACCGCTCCAACAGAAAATGAAATCAGCTGATGCGCTACCGAGTAGACGCAGGCAAACAAGGAAGGCAAAATGTTGCGTAAAAAGTCTAGGTATTGCATCCCGTCTAATCGATTTGGGAGAATAAATGGTCCAATGAGTATACATGCTGGAAAATCGTCAGGTTGAAGGGCTTGTACACGTTGGACGTGAAGCGGATACAGCCCCTCTTCACGCAGCGTTTGCCACACTTTAGTTTTTGATACTTGCACTTCTCTAGGCACGTCTCTAGTGCCTGTTGAGGGATTCTCGTCTACGCGATTACCTCTACACGCGTGACCGTTACCGTCGGTTGAAGGTTGCATACTGACCTGACACACTGACCCGGACCCAGTTCTGTCGTCGGGTTGAGCTAGTGTCCTAGTACCACTCGGGGATGTCGCGGCTACAGGACGGTATTCAGATATGTTTGATGTTGCAGAGCCCTTTATCTCGGTTCCCTTAAGACATTGGTGTATATGGTACTAAGAAAAATTGCTTATGTTTTCAAGATCTACACGTCGCGTAAAGGAAAACCCCAACTTTGCGGACACCCTGTATTTATAGAGCCTTGGAAAGTAATTTCTAGTGGTTTGAATTTATCTACAATTGCACGATTTATTTTTCTTGATGTATAGCTAGATGCACCGTAGAAGTGAACACGTTTGCTGTGCTTTAGGTTAAGCTTCACTTTATAATTTGCTTCACCTTTGAATGAGCCGCAAAGGAATTGGTATAATCCAACTTGGAGACGCTGAGGTCACATTTTCAACTTTAGTCGAAAGGTAAGTGAAGTCTAAGTCCATCAACTAAACGTCGACCGTTTCCAATCCAGAAAAATGAAGCATGTGGTGTGCATGCTCGGTTGGTGCAGCCTTAGGGCAGGAGGACTGATCGTGACTGTAAAGGGCAGACAAGCGGATCGAAGGGAGGCTCCGATTCTGGTCGCCGCTCCACATTCGACCTTCATCGATGGCGGCATCGTTTACATCACTGGGTTCCCGTCAACGATCTGCAGAAGGGAGAGTGGAGCCAACAACCATATAGGAAGTAGGTTCAGGTCTTGAAACATGAATGGTCACATATACATATACAGTGTGACTCAAGAGAGAACAGGGATATTCTTGGGGTAGGAAGTGGGTCCAAAGATAAAATAGGTAGTTTTTATAAAGATTGGTCACGTTATGTCCCCTTATCGAGTTACAGTCTGAGGTCGATAAAGGTATCAAACTGAAATTTTGTACATACATATTTGGAGGTCAAAGTGTACCAGTAGCGTAGGAGCTGGGAAACAGTGGACCCCCGACAATCCGGCCCCTGTCTAATCCGGCGCCCCCTCTAATCCCACATGTCTTTAAATATGTATTACATACATACGTATTTGACAATTTTCGCTAATGTAGATCACGCAGGTTTGAACAGGTTACAACTTGTACGCGCCACCGCTATCGTGCTCGAGGCGTAAGCATTGTTTTACTTAGTTTGAATTTGACTACTGGTGATAGCGGTACGGCCTAGCGTGCGTTCATTATTTGCTATTTATTCATTGTGTATTAAGTATAGTACCTGGTAATGTCATCACAAACTCAGAAGCGAAAGCACAAAACATTGACAATTAAGGAAAAATGTGATATTTTGGACCGCTTAAATCGCAATGAAACTTTCAGTAGTTTAGCAAGTGAATACGGCGTAGGCCGATCTACAATTTATTACATTAAAAGAAACCACGGGAAGATCGTGTCAACTACTGACTGCAGGCCAGGCAAGTGACAGACACTCAAGAAAGCTGAACATCCAGTAGTGGAAGGAGCTTCGTACATGTGGTTTTTTTCAGGAAAGAAATAGGCATGCGCCAATTTCAGGAAGCATGTTGGCCATGAAAGCTAAGTTTTTTATAAGGAAATAACAAAAAAAGATGATTTTGTGGCCAGCAAAGGATGGCTAGAACGTTTTAAAAGTCGTCATGGCATACTTTTAATGACTATTACAAGAGAGAAACTTTCTAACGATGCCACCTACGTAGAGCCCTTTAAATTAAGATTTTTGCAAAAGGTGAACGATTTAAAGCTTGACCCGTCACAGGTGTACAATGCAGACGAATCAGGGCAAAACTTTCGTTTCTTGTAACGAAAAATCCGTTCCTGTACGAAAAGTGAGTAAAGAGCGTGTAACCATACATGTGCTAACGCTGCGGGCACACACGCGCTTAAGATGATGGTCATTGGGAAATCTAATAAACCACGGGCATTCAAAAACATTGATTTACTTGTACACTATTACGGACAAAAAAGTGCATGGATGACAAATGACCTTTTCAAAAAGTGGTTTGATGAATGCTTCGTACCTGAAGTTAGAAAACGATTAAAAGATCATAATTTTCCTCAAAAAGCGTTGCTGCTTCTTGATAACGCTCCCGGTCATCCGTCTGAAGAAGAACTAACAACTGAGGATAAATGCATCACTGCGATGTTTCTTCCGCCAAATTGCGCTGCACTGGTTCAACCAATGGACCAGAATATCATTCAGTTTGTCAAGCAAGACTATAAGAAAAACCTACTTCTGAGAGCCGTATCAAAAGACCAACCAATAGAAAAAACTTTAAAAGAATCTAATATGAAAGACTTGGTTTTTGCTCTTTGTCAGTCGTGGAATGCGTTACCGTCATCGACTATTAAATCGTCTTGGAAAAAGTTATGGCCAGATATAGCCACCACTCCTAGCAACGTTCCACAAATCAGTGTAACTTCGGAAGTTGTACAACAAGTCACTGCTGAAACACAGATAAGTCCGGAAGATTTGGAAATCTGGTGCCGTGGAATGGATAAAGAGGGAAATGTTTTTCATGAAATGTCTGACGAAGAGATTATAAAAGAGGTTTCTAAATATACAACAATCAGGAAAATAACGACGACGTGATTGCAACTGCTCCACAAGTCACAGCACAAGACGCAATTAACGCCTTTGAGCTAGGTTTACAATGGGCTGAAGAGAATGGTACATCCTACAACGAACTTTTACTTTTGAGAAGACTGAAGGACAAAGCTCTGATCTCGAGTTATAACAAACTTAAACAAAAAAAATTGATGAATATTTCCAAGCTTTATAATTTGATAAATTCATTAACGATTTTGATTAATAATTCTTGATTATTTTGGTACATATGTATGTGCATTTATGCTTAATTTTATAATAAAACGTAAACTCTCTATTGTTATTTAATTTACTAAATTCGACATACATAAACTATGTATGATTTGTACTTCAAAGTACATACATAACATATATAATCTTACCATTGGATATGTAATTATTAGGTATTCTTTTGTAAAAAATTCCGGACTATAGGGGGTCTTAGGCAGTGCTCTGTAATCCGACAAATTCGATAGTCCGACACTGCCCTGCATAATGTTTGTCGGATTACCGGAGGTCCACTGTATTTCGGTCTCTAGAGATGAAATAATAGAAAATGCTTTGCTAAGCCTCTGATATTTTTGAAACATTAATGACTTTTTGGAATAAAGTGTTTAATTTCACAAGAATTGTCTCTTATGAGAAATGTGGATATCATACGTTTACTTTAAACAACTACTACGGCGCCACCTAGTAAAATGCCAGTAAAAATAGCGCGCAATTTAAATTGATTAGGCATATGTTGACCACGCTGTAGTTAAATGTGATTTGATTTGGCATGTAATTTGTGCACGCATTTTTCTTTTGAGTTTTTGCTACACCGTCTTTACGTTATCGATGCTTACTGCTAGGTAGTTTACATAGTTAGGCTGTAGACACTCCTTTCAAGTACCTGTATAAGAGCAATCTTCTTCTTCTTGAAACCTATTATCCACGTTTAATCAGTCGGCATTGCTTCAAAAGGTTATTGTTTTTCGAATATGAAATCAATCAGTTTCGAGCATGATGTTTTTCGTTCTATGCCATTCAAAAGCTCGAGTACCTAGCATTTTTTTGACATTCGCGATTCAGTTCATTAGATATATTGCTCATTTCACAATGCTTCATATTTTTAAAAACCCTGTACTTGTGCGGAATCATTATACATATTATATATATATATTTTTGTTTCGCTAAATCTACAAATTAAAAAGCTAGTTTATTCAGACTATCTAGACTACCTGCTTATTGAAACGATAGTGATAGATACATGTACCTCAGATTCGAACCCTTTCTTCACTTTTTTAGAGCTAATAAACTTTACGCAACCGGTGTATGTATGGCGAGATGACCCAGACTCGCGGCATAACACCATAAGAGAGATAGTTCAAAGAGCTACATCGGACCTCGATTGGCCTCAGATCCTGATATTTCCAGAAGGAACATGTACCAACAGGTCCTGCTTGATCACCTTCAAACCTGGAGCGTTCTATCCAGGAGTCCCGGTCCAGCCAGTTTGTATCCGGTATCCCAACAGGTTGGATACTGTTACTTGGACTTGGGAGGGACCTAGTGCGTGAGTACTTCTAAGCTTATGTTGATCACTGCGTTTTTATTAAACTTTGATATAAGAGACTCGAAATATGACCTAAGTATTCGAGCGCAAGAGGATGTCAGGTCTTTGGTCGTTTACGTTTTAGCTACGGCACGAAATTTCAGATGGTAATTCGTTGAGCCGTTTTAAGAGAAAGCTTAAGCCAATTTGGTTGAAATTTCGTGCAATCATTTGAAGTACGATTATCACAAGGTGTCTGTGAGCGCGATAAAATCACACATTGCCGTGATACGCGATATAAATCACTAGCAAAAACTGTCGCTGAACCATAATGAAGCGATCTTGTCTGTATCTGGCTCCAAAATTATTTGAACACTTACTCAAAGACTCGAATTTCGAAATACATATAATTTAAAACAAATACATCAAAATATATTTGCGCAATAGGAATAGGAAAATATTTCTTAAATATGTATTATCCTCTACATACACACCTGTTTGATGTATACTAAGTGACATATAAATCCGAACACCCAGTTTAAATGGTTTTATTTTAATAAAAGTTGGTGAATGTATTTATCTTACTGTAAATAACAAGTGAAAAAATTTTCAGCCTTATCAGTTGGACATTCCGGTTTTTATACTGCTTTTTTTTAATTCACTAACGCTCTAAAAATGAATATTTCAGCCGCAGTAAAGAATCATTGTTGGCGGATTTTGGTTATTGACATCCTTTACGATCGGTTACGATGCCTAGAGTACGGAGACCTGTACGATTTCGTCAACTTAGTGAGTTTGATAGGGGCCGTATAGTGGGACTTCGGGAAGCTGGACTTTCTTTCCGGGCAATTGCAGTTAGAGTACAAATAAGTGTAGACACTGTGGTTAGGTGTTGTCAGGCATGGCTTTGAGAAGGCCGTACGCAAAGAGCAAGGGGCACTGGACACCGCCGTAGAACAACAGACCGTGAAGATCGCCGCCTAAGATTATTGGCCTTAAGGGACCGTTTCTCCACTACCAGGTCCATTGCAAATGAATGGTTTGCAGAACACGGAAGACCTATTGGCATGCGAAGTGTTCACCGACGAATGAGAAGTTTTGGCTTGTTTTCATACCGGCCACACTGGGTCCTCCCTTTAACTCGAGAACACCGACGTAATCGCCTTGAGTGGTGCAGACAACGGTCACTCTGGGATCAGGAATGGAACAGTATTGTCTTTAGTGACGAGTCTCGATTTTGTTTAGGCATGCACGATGGTCGTACCAGGGTTAGAAGGCGACGTGGTGAAAGGAGGAATCCACAGTTTTTTGTTGAAAGACATGTTCATCACACTGTTGGAGTTATGGCTTGGGGTGCTATAGGTTATGGTTCCAGGTCACCTTTAATCTTCATCAGAGGTAACATGAACGCGCAGCGTTATATCCACGAAGTTCTAGAACCCCATCTTTTACCCTATCTTGACACCCTGGCAGATCCAACTTTCCAACAAGATAATGCCCGACCACATGTTGCAAGAGTCACAATAGACTTTTTTCAATATAATGATGTCACATTGTTTCCATGGCCACCAAGATCCCGACTTATCCCCAATTGATCACGTGTGGGATATGATGGGTAGGAGATTGCTCAATTCGCAACGTCCTCCTCAGACTCTAGAAGCACTTCGAGAGGAGTTGGTGGTTGCCTGGAATGAGATACCACAGGAGGACATTGACCACCTGATCAGAAGCATGCCTAGGCGCGTTGGAGAATACGTAGCACATCGGGGTGCATCCACACCCTATTAAAGGTCAAAGGGCTTTAAGCAGTGCAATCATTTTGAAATTTTTATCATTCACTTATTATGCTTCATTAAATACTTATACAAAATTTTATTAAAATAAAACTATTTAAACTGGGTGTTCGGATTTATATGTCACTTAGTATAAGTTTTTCTTAGAGCTTCTTTTAACTTTTTTGTTTTGATTTTGGAACATATTCGAACATATAACTGATCCATGTACTACAGGCATTGTCCTGCTGAGGATTGAAACATTTATTTACTCATTCTGTGTTGTTATTGATTTTATATAATTGAGTTAGTAAATGTCTACTACCAAGGGCGTCGCAGTTGCCCCCCCCCCTAGAGACCTTGAAAAGCTCGTGGAGCTTCACGCTTTGGACTTTATAGTGTCCTTATCACAATCACCATACTGCAAATGCAAAATCTGATGTGCTGTTGACTTTACATACAATTTGTAAATTTTTCATTCATCGCATGAACTTGTCGCCTCCTGGGCCATTGACTGGCAACGCCCTTGTCTTCTACCACTACGATAACAAGGTCGATCGCAAAAGACCATAAAGATATGTATTTTTATTTGCTTAGTCCAATAAATTAAAACATACAGAAACAGTTATTGGCGTACCTACTTTCTTTTCTTAGTAATACGACTGTGGTGTCCAGAGACGCCAATGGAACTAGTTGTTTTAATCCATTTAGAGCTAAATAAACTTCTTATCAGTCGAAATCATTGAACCTGACTCTTTTTTCAGCCTGTCAAGAGGAGTAACTTTTTGTCTGATTGTTGCATGATACGTATAGAGATTATTGAAAAACAACGTTATCAGTTCCTTTTTTTGTCAAAAATGAGTTCTTGCCCATAATTTCATCAATCGTAACTTGTGAACAAATAGTAGTACAAAGACCCAAGTGGATAAAGCTGTCATGTAACAAAGTCATTGTATGCAGAAAATTGACTATAAGCATTTTTTATTGGGACTTTTTACTGAAATTTTAAGTAATTAGTCTAATTAATAAGTTATTATCTTTTTTTTGCAACAGAGTAATCACAGAATGACAGAATCACTCCCTAAGTTCAGTTTAATGCAAAATAAGCATTTTTCTAACAAACGTTACATAACACCTTCATCCACTTGTGTCGTCAATTGTATATGAATATTCCACTTTTGTAGAAGAATAAGCTGGTAATTACTTTTCTCCTATTAGTTTCTTTCTTCAAAAATCTTTGGTTTGGTTGAAAACTCAATTTTTTTCGAAGAGAAAACCACCTGCTCAATTTTACTATAAAAGCAGAGTTTTACGTACAATTCCAGGGCTGTAGGTACTAAGATTTGTGAACGAGATGAAAAAATGCAAAACAAAATTAACAAAGATGCATTTCTTGAAGATCTCTCATGAAGTACACAAACGAAAGGGATTTAGAATCCTGCTCCAACCAGCTGAAAAAAGGGGCATGCGACATTCAAGCATATTTATACAGGGTGGGGCAGAAAGACCTCCCCGATTTGAAAACCGTCTAGCTACGCCAATGGGGGGATAGCGCGGGGGGGGCTGGGGGATATGTTATTCGACGTGTCTATTCCTGTAATTTTTAGTATAAATTATGGCATAGTCAAGACCGCACCGCGGTTTCGTCGTTGAAGAGTTTATTCGAAATGGAGGTACGCCGATGCACTCTCAAGGAGACGATAATTCAGGAAATTGCTGCCATTGACATGATTAGCGGAGTGATGGAGAATTATCACTCAGTGTATCAACAATGGAGACGCAAGCTTGAGTGATGTCATTTACAAAATGCATTGACTTAAAATGGCATTATATATCCTTTTAAAAAAATAAAGTTGTTTTTCTAAATCTTGATTAGTTCAGTTTTTATTGGCTCTCCCTATTGGGGAAGTGTTTCTGCCCCACCCTGTATTTTGTAAATATCGATTTTTTCATCCTCAACGCCCTGTATCCCGGAACCAAGCCAACTGTGGTCATAGGCACTTTTTTCTTAAAATGACATAACGAATCACTCTCCGTTAAGAAACATCCTGTTTCCACTGCAACACATTATCGGCTTAATCAGCAGAAGCCAACAGACTTATAAACATTGACTATTTATCGTATTCTGCCTGAAGAAAGCCCACCTACAGTATATTCAGATAAGAGATAGACCGGACATAAACAAGACCACGTGATCATCGAACGCTGTAACATTCGGCAGGGACGTATTAAGAGTCACGCAGTACATATTTTAGATAGTAGATGCTGCTTTGCGTAACTTTGTAGTAAATTAGCACAATTCGATGTGTATACGATTGGTGATGGATATAGGATCATGTGGGGGTGGGGTAAGAAATATATAATGATGTAAATATACATAAGGGTTTCAAAATTTTCGCTTCGATTTCCAGCTTCGGATGCCGCCTGATGTTTGGTGAAATACAGTCGAACATAATCTCAAAATGGCGTTTAAATTAGCCTAAATTAAAAATAATCGTATATCTCTTAAAATTGCTTTTAGAATATTGATTAGTATATTTTTTGATTTCTAGGTAAATATGTAACCAAATTAAAACGTTCAAAACGTAAAAAAATGTGCATGGTTGAACATTGTCAGAAAGTAGATTCTTGAATAGGTTTTGCCAAAATGGGTTCAAAAATGTCAATAATTAATTAAAAAATACAGTAGCTTTATAATTACTTATAACTTACCGAATTTGATGAACGACATCTTTTATTGGAAAGATGAGCTTGATGAGCTTTCATCATCGCTACTGCCTGAAGCACCAACGTCAATAATGAATGGCTCGACTTGTTCCTCTAAAATATTGTCCAGTTCCCACATTCTCTTTTCAACTTTGTCTTTCACGTGCTTAATACAGTTTTCCCATCTTTGCGCTGTTATTAATGCTAGTGCTTCTTTGAAAAGTCCTTTGAGGTCACAAAATTCAAAAGTTGTATTGTGCTTAGCTATATAATTTTTAACCTCTGCCCATATGAGCTCAATGGGATTGAGCAAGCAAAGGTATGGAGGTAAACGGAGCACAGTTTTATTTTGACTTGCTGCCATTTCGTCAATGGCGTATTTTTGATATTCCGCCTTGTGATCCTCGACAATTCTTAATAATTGTACTTTCAGCATTGCTTCTTCAAAGTTGATATTTTTCGAGCGGATGCGCGACACACCCCAACTTTGTGAGAAACCTTCACAACAATTTCTTTGATGGTTGATGCCTCGTTCTCCTCGCGCTCGATCTTATATATATTCAAAATGACCTCTTTCATTTCTGCACTCAGGTGTCTTTTTTTAGAGCGTTTCCTAGGTGGACTACAGGAGTTTACAACTTCATCGGCAGTATTTGTACTACTGGGCATTTCGCGCAAGCAGTTGATAACAATAACAGTCAATAACAAGGTATAACAATAACAACGACAAACTCAACAACTTAATAAGATAACAAACGAAAACGCCCAAAGAAATATCAAATTGCAATGATGCACACGACATACGTAACACGTCTGAACCTGAATGTGACTCTGCCTTGATACGACTGCTCTGCCGCTCGGCATAGGCATTTAATTGCGAATTGACCAATGAGGGCTCCTGTTTTACGTCGAGACGGCGGCGTTAGCGTGAAAATCACCCGAACCTTTTGTTTACATCCTGTCTATCTCTTATCTGAATATACTGTAGTACTATTTTCCTATTTCCAAAAATGCTATCCGAGATGAAATGCCAGCCCGTTCCGAAAATTCGTCACACCTACCTCGCTCCCACACGCACTAATTAGAAACAAAGGTTATTGTCTCATAGATGGCGCTGTAGTAAATGAGTAAATAGTATATATTTAGCAATAGTGCATCTATGAGATACTAACCTTCTCAAAGAAGAGTTGTAATCAATGCGAAGAGACGAAACATATCCCCTAGGACTTCGAGAATCTCGTAGTTATTCAAATGTTCTTCCGAATCATTATAATACCCTCTCCAGTCTCACGCGCGGATCACGGCGTGAAATCGCGGCGCGGATCGCGGTGGGAATGCCGAAATTTATTCCTACAGTTCCATACTCGCAAATGTTCGCGCCTGCTTTACAGTATAGTTCGCGCTCTTTGCTACTTTGCTCTTTGGTAATTTATAATTACGCATATATAAGTAAAACTAGAGCAATTGAAAAGAAGTGGAAAAAACACAACCTCTCCTGGCACTCGCTACGAGGCAACTGAAACATCAGCGAATGAGGAGCCTAATAGTCATGTTCGCGCCTTGCGAATCCTTTGTCGCGGGACACAAAACCGACAACAAACGGGAACAACGCGCGAACGCGACGTGAATCCGCAAAGAAAACGCGAATCGGATCCACACTCATGGGTCGAGCGTAGTTCGCGGCTTCGCGCGAGATTCTCGCGTGAGTCTGGAGAAGGCATAAGGATACACCTTAAAATTGATGCGAAAGTGAGTTTGAAGGTAACCTTTCTTCTGTTTTAGACTGAAACTCTTGTGGCTAACGTTGACTCAACCCTACAGCAACTGCGAAATAGAATTTTTACCAGTATACCATCCCAGTGAAGAAGAAAAACGTGATCCTAAGCTTTTCGCCAACAACGTCAGAGCTGTGATGGCAAAGTAGGTTTTTCTATTAGTCACTTTGTTATTTCCGTTTCCATCCAAGCGTTTTCTCCCTCAAAAGAGAATAAGTTAGGAGTATTGCTTTATGAGGCATGAAAGACCTTTTAACATTTTTTTGTGCTTGCTTACAGAGCTCTTGGAATACCAGTTACAGACTACACTTACAATGACTGTAAGTTGATGAAAAAAGCAAAAGAAATGAACCTGCCGTTGGCACCCTCACTTGTGGAAGTTAGAAAATTAAGGAACAAACTAGGGTAAGAACGTGCACTGTGGGATATAAAAGCTTTTTACTTCCCACGCCTACTAGCTAGGAGGTATTGTAATCGCGTATTTCCATCTGTATGTCCGTCTGTCTATCTGTCTGTCGGTCTGTTGGGTGGGAGTTGCGGGGGGTGGCGGAGGGAATATATATATATATATATATATATATATATATCACCCACTATATATATATTTGTTGGTATATTTATAGGCCTATAACATCAGTAATTCGACGCACCTATTAGACATCGCCCCGGTGCCGCTGTAAAGTCAATATCGTCATCCACGCGGGATTAGTCATAGCAACGATCATGTGCGCCCGCAGAAATTTCTCTCAGGGATGCGAGGAAGGTCATTTAATTTTTTGCTATTCGTGTTCGTAGCTAACCTTTTTCTCAGAAGGGCTAGCTCGTGCCGAACACAATCCTTTACGACCCGATGAAAGCGTTGCGTGAGAATACAGTCAACTTACTTTTAGACATTCTTCCAAACTGTCGTCTGCTTTCTAATGAATGGTGTATTTAGGTTGGATAAGACGAATATTGAAGAGACCTTGGTGGAATCTGTGCTGTCGTGTAGAGATTGCAGTAAAGTCAGTTACATGGAGTTTGTCAGCGTGCTCAACATACCTCCAAACAACGTGGCATCACAACAATTATTCAAAATATACGATAAGGTAGGTGACCAAAATGAACGAAATCGTTTTTCCGGCTGCTAAGAAATATTTGGTTGAAGAATAATGGTCCTTTTTATAACGGTGACTGTCGTTTCTCAGGAAAACACAGGAATGATCGACTTCCGAGATTACTTTCTGGGCGTGTTGGCAATTTCAAAAGAACGAACACCGCTTGAGGCTTTGCAGGTGGCTTGTAAGGTAAGCAAGAACTTGGGGGTGAAGGAAGAAGGTGATATTTAGGTCTATTTTAAGAAGAAAATTTCATATGAACCTAAATGTCTTAACTTTAGAAATACAGGGCGGTAGTTTTCAAAAGTAAATAATTTACTATTAATGTCTTTAATGTCACTTTAGATTTGTAATAAATTTTGGCATACATGTATACATGAATCAAGAGGTAGTTTCTATTGCACCACATTTTTTTATTTCTACCAGTGGCACGCATTGATGATATGCCACTGATGATTTCTCTTTAAATAAGGAATTCATGAAATCCCCAATAATATCAAAGCAATTTTGATCACGTGATTTTTCCGAATCCGATTTTAATTATTTATTTATACTGAAGCAGCCGAGCAATTAGAAGCCTAAATACTATGAGGAGCTTGAAGAAATTTTGTTATTTTGATTCTTGAACTGCCTAAGGTAAGTAGAACTGGGGAATCCTCCTCACGTAGATTGTCCCGCAATCTCGATACAATAGAGACAAAGGAGTGGTCATATCGGCCAGTTAAGGACGTACGAAGTTCGACACGGTTTGAATGTGAGGCTGAAGTCAGGAGGTTCTGTCTGGCAGGTACGTAGACGGGGCGTCACCACCCCAAACATGTGAGCAGTACTCGAGGTTAGGTCTTATCTGGGTGAGAAGGTCATGTGAAGAAAAGTACTTCTTAGCCCTGAAAAAATTGTCTAGCTTTTTCACAGCAGCTGCAGTTATTGACGAGATGTGTCGGTGATTTGGACTCCGACCAGCCGAAATGAACGACTTTTTGGCGGAACTCGCGCTAGGTCGCCTAGTCAAGTTACAGTACTGTTTTGAAAGCATTGTTCTAGATTGTAGCGCCCCCAAGCAGTGATAACCTCCAGGTCTCTCGTCAGAAATAAAGTCGCGGCTAGTCTCCCTCTCTCATCGGTATAGATCGATTTAGGCTTGAAAAAAATAAAAAACCATTCCTAAGCATGACGATTATATTCTTAATATGACTGTTTAATCATGCAGAGAAGTAGATTTTTTTTAGGTGAAACCCTGTTGGACTGTAAGAATCCAAGAGGCCAAATCTGCTAATAGATTGATAAGGATATAAAAATACATTTCAAATGCCTCTTGATACCATAGTACATATAGGTATGCCAAATTTCAATAAAATATCTAATACACACGTAAATAGGTGTAGTATAAGATTTTATTTTATAAAACTGTACTACCCTGTATCTCAAAGGTTAAGACGTTTAGGACATACGTTGATAAAATTGACCCAAAAATCACCCCTTACATCTTGACATTCGACGATATATTTAATATAAGTATCAATTTCATGGCTTAGTGAGTATATGATGTCAAAGTTTTACGGTAATTTTCCTTGCAGATATATGACCGAATTGGCTACGGCAGGCTATGTCCTGAAGATTTCTGCAAAGCGGTTTGCCACACTTTGGCATTGAGTAAAGAATATGCCATGGAGGTCTTTGAACAGGCTGACCGAAATCAACTCGGCTATATAACATTCGGTAAGCTAGGAATACGATTCTTTACAGTATTTTAACATCAATATTACACAACTCTATATTTTACAAAATTCTTTTTCAGAAAACTTTGTGAACTACGCCCAAAAGAAAGCAGAGTTCGCCAGTCTTTTTAGCCTGAGTATGCAAGAGAAGATGACACAAAGAAATGTCGAGAATTGTCCGAATTACTACGACAAGAAGATAGACTGATCTCCGCTGGAAAATACTGTTTGAAACTACTGTTAATCGTGATATTATGATAAAGACATTACCAGTTACTGCACATTCCCGTAGAAACAATTATCGGATCTACGTAAGCCCAGTGTTCTTCCTCAATGATGATCACAAAAATGAAGGAGAATAGACACGAAACTTGAGAATGTCAGATGTGGAACGAAAAAGGCTTAACGAATTTATGTACTCGTAATGCTCTAGTGAATTTTCTCACTTAATAATTGATTCGAGATTAGTATTGATAAGTCAAAGTTATTTTAGGGATCAAAGTTTTAGATATTGAACTTATCTGTATAGTCTGGCTGAATGTCGCCTTTGAATAGATCGATTTTGAGAATTTAAAAGAAAAAGTAACAATTATGTTGATAGGCCAATTATCCGCCTCATTGATCAAATATTATAAAATATTTAGAACACAAAACCTTTCCATCTTCACGTTCCATAATAAATCAATGATCAAGGTGCTCTAGAATGCCAAACTCAAATTTGAGGCTTAGAAGAAGGCATGAAAAGATTCTCGAAAGGGCGAGGGCAATATTTTGACTCTTGAAATTTTGTTTTAGATTTAAATCTTGATTAATCGAATTTGCTATAACAAGAAAAAGATCGTCGGAACTGCGAGTTCACTCTTGAAATTTTGTTTTAGATTTAAACCTTGATCTGTCGAATTTGCTATAAGTTATTTTTTCCCGTCAAGTCATCTCTATAAAACAGATAAAACTGACCGTGCCGATTGTAGAACATCTAAACAAATTACTTTTACGTTTATGTATCAATAGTGCAACTTCTATCTATAGTTTTCAATGTATTATATAATAGCTAAATTGTTAAACATCCCATAGAGACTATAATAATCTATCTTTCTTTATATATTGAGGCTTATAATATTTGTGTGAACCAATATTCAACAATTTGTGCGAATGCTAGACGGTTCTGCTGATATGTTTCTGTTTACTTTTATTATTGACTGAAAACGAACGGTGAAACTAAAATATTTATCTCTAGCATATAGCAATATCATAGTAATCATAAATATAATTCACTGTTATGCGATATGTATGTCTGTATATTTATTTGTTTTGTATAGAACGTTATTTTAAAAAGAAAAATATAGTTTAAAGAACAGCTGCCTGTTTCTTTCAAAACGAAAGCATTATACAAGGAAAAATGGAACATAACTCACTTTCATGTGGCTTCCCAGCGAACATGATGACGCCAAAATGACGTCATTATTTGGTCACTTTTTGGTCGGAAACGACATCGACTAAAAAATGACGTCTTTATTGACGCCGTTTAAATGACGACAACCAGACTTCCTTCAGAAAAGGCTGTCATTTTGACGTCTCTTGTAGGACAGTCAGTACCGAATAGTCAATACTTACCTACAAAGAAAATATACTTTTAATGAACAATAAGGTAAGGTAGATATCCGAATACTTATAACGACTTTATTGTTATTTGTAAAAAGTATCAGGACTTCTTCGCCCAAACATGGCTTTTCTAATAACACCTCAGGTAAACGAGATAATATTTGTTGTTTTTCGAAGTATTCGCCTTTACACTCGATACATTTTTGCATTCGAACAAACCAAGTTGTAAAGCAGTAGTTCCACTATGTATAGTAGGCATACTTTACAATACGTACGTCAGTAGTGCTCTAAAAATACGGACATTACGACGTCAATATGTTCACTGGGTTACGCATATTTGCATTGATTAACATATTCTACCGGAAGATGACTATTTAGTGTATTTCGGCGTTCAAAAAGACATCCGAGATGACGTCATCTACAAGAATTTGTCACACTATATGAGCATACACATACAGGGTTATCCAAATTAAGTGTCCACCATTAGTAACTTTGTTATTAGTGAAAATACAAAGTTGTTTGAATTAGCAAACTAGTAGCATTTTTAACGCTGGTAAAAATGAGATATAAAAAAAAGCAATTGAGAGTCGTTATTTTGATTTTTTTCAGTAAAATAACATTTTTTTAAATGGAAACCCCTGTATATTATATTTTTTTCTGTTAAAGCATCAAATTTTAAACAAAAAAGCTTACAATAACTTTTCTCCTAGGTTACAAATTGTTGAAGTTATGGCCTCCAATCTGAAACAATTAAATTGTATCGACAAACTTTATTTTCAACATCAACTTATAATCTTACAAAATACAATAACAATTTTTTTTAAAGAAGATGCTCGAAAACACCACCTTGTTCTTCAATACATTTTTGGGCACGTTTTTCAACTGCTCGAACTGTCTTAAGTATGGTCCTACCGTCTATCTGGGTTATCTTTTCCCTAACTGCAGTCTTTAACGCGTCAAGGTTATCGTACCTTCGCTTGTAAATTTGGTTCTTTAAGTAACCCCACAAGAAGTAATCAAGTGGGTTTAGATCTGGTGATCTGGGAGGCCACTGTATTGGGCCATTTGTTCCTATCCACTGATCATTAAAAGTAGTACTTAGAAAATGATAAGTACCTCTGGAGTTGTGGGCAGGTGCGCCATCTTGCTGAAAATGCAGATGATGTCTACTTATAAGATCCAATTCGTCTAAGAAATTAGTCAGAATTTCTGACATAAATTCCACATATCTTTCACCAGTTAGGGTTCCCTCATAAAAGAACGGGCCAACAATTTTTGAACCAATTATACCGCACCAAACGTTGAAACTGAAACGGACTTGTGGGCCTCTTGGATGTACTAACAAAAGATTTTCTCTTGACCAATAATGGTGGTTTTTTCTATTAAACATTCCAGAATTTGAAAAATTTGATTCATTTGTCCATAAAAGGTAACGAAAGTTATTTACATTTTGGCGACAGAAGCTAAGATACCAATGGCAAAAAACAAGTCTTCTCTCTGGATCCCCTGCCAAAAGCGTTTGAACTGGTCGGTACTTATACGGAATAAATTTGTATTTTTCTAAAATCCTTTGAACAGTACCATAACTGAAATTAGAGTCCTTGAGAATATCTGCTATTGAATTCTCACGATAAGCTTCAAAATATCCAATAACTGCAATTTCCGTGGCCTCGCTTATTATGAATTCTTTTTTTGCCCTTGTTTTAGCAAAAACATTTTCGTTGCCCCTAAATTTTCGATAAAGTCTCAGAAAATATCGTTCATACGGTTGAATGCGAGCGGGATATAATTCACTGTAGTATTCTCTTGCTCTCAAGGAGGATTTTCTGCACACTAAATAGCATTCTAACATATCACACTTTTCTTCATGGGAGAACATTTTTCTTTAAATTAATGACACAATTAAGCTTATAAACAAGTATTTACACTAATGTTTGACATTATTTGATTTTATCATTGTTTTCCAAAGCCTTCTAGTTGCGAGTATGTCCAGTTTAACAATTTGTCGCTTATCTTAATGCTGTCAAATCGCGAACGCCATGTTGTTTTCATAGCCGTCTTAATATTATAATACTGCAAATAATTAAAAATATTTATCGTTATTTTGACTTTATTTTTGACTTTAGCGGAAAAGTCATTATGAACTTTTTTGTTTAAAATTTGATGCTTTAACAGAAAAAAATATAATATACAGGGGTTTCCATTTAAAAAAATGTTATTTTACTGAAAAAAATCAAAATAAAGACTCTCAATTGTTTTTTTTTATTTCTCATTTTTACCAGCGTTAAAAATGCTACTAGTTTGCTAATTCAAACCACTTTGTATTTTCACTAATAACAAAGTTACTAATAGTGGACACTTAATTTGGATAACCCTGTATAGTACAAGAGACTAACGTTCTCATAGCAGATTTCTAATTAGTGTCGAAAGGAGAAACATAACTGTAACAAATTCTTATAGATGTCGATAGGGGATCATTCTTTGGACCCTGAAATCTGCATGGTCTCCAGGTAGAATACCTTGATCAATGGTGTTAGCTATTCCTAGCAGCAAGATGAAGAGGATAAGCATCAAAATGGTTTTTCAATTATCTTATTATGAACAATTCAAAAAACTAGATTTATGACGTTACCTAAAAACTTCCACAATTCCGTAGTGTAAGTCCATACCTGTGCATTGTATTTCTGGTTGTAGCTTCTCCAGGACACTCTACATGTGGCGGCATCTGTGGAGAGAGAGTACAACTATACTATAGACGGGAATCGAAATCTTTAATAAATATCGGAATCGTCTACGTAGTAAGAGGTATTAGTATCAGATGGCTCAGACATCGCATATGCCGCGCCATCTCTGAAGCGATTATTGAGTTACTATGAAACAGCAAATCGAAACCTTTAACGCTTAGAAGGAATGACATTGCTTAGTTAATAGATGGCGGGACACTGCCTACAGTTTTATTTTCTGGTGGTTGACTGGACAGTGAATGTATGTAAAATAAACTCTGTGGTAACCCCGGGCCCACGTGTGTGGATTTAAGGTTAACAGAAAAATTAAAATAATGGAATCTGAAGCGTGTGTAAAGGAAAAAATACTAGACATGGAGGAGATAGAAAAGAATATTCAGAAAAATGTAGTGAATTATTGTAAAATGTTGCCTGGCCATGTTGAAAAATGGAAAACGCTTTTGGGACAAGTTCAGAAACCCGCCAAAGCATTGGGGAACTACTCAGAACAACTGCGTCATGTCGAATGGTGAGTATTATAAATTATATGAGTACAAACATTGTCGTGATGTCGTGGTTAAACTGAACAGCCATGAAATTGTTTTTATAGTACGGTCAAATTGTGTAATTGCATGTTCTCTTCTAGCGCCAACATAACTTATCTCGAAAATTTCACTGGTATTCAAGAAACTTTGAAGTACAGATTGTATTGTGAAATTGAAGAAGAGTTAAACCTGTTGAAGGGGATCATGTGAGTAGCTATTTCCTGATCGACAAAGGATGGACTCGAAAAATTATTTTTTCTTTTTTTAGTGATCAACTGAATAAATCGGTTCAAGATCTGAAGAACAAACTTTCACTTCTAGAACGGTGTACATTAGACCTAAACTGGGAGTCCAACTCACAACTTATAAAAGGATCACCTATTCAACCACCCTTGTCTCTCATTCTGGACAAAGGATACGAATTTTGCCTTTATTTTTCAAAAGCAATGAAAGTTATAAACGAGAGATTAAAGAATATAAACGTTAGAGATGAGGATTGTATGAAGCAGTTTGAAGAAAGCTTCAACGTTAGCCTTGAAGAAGACTGTGTTCGGAAGTGTTTAGCGATTGTACAATATATTAATAATGAGAAAAACCTAACTTGAAATATATATCTTTGTCAAATACAAATTTTTATGTTATTGCCTATGCCTTAAAGTGAGCTGAAGGTATAAAAACCAAGTTGCATTTCTCAAACACGGTCACACCAAATAGATTTTTTTCAAAATCAACTTCAAAAACGTCGAAAAACACTCGAGTTTTTTTATAAATCGGACTTGCCCAAGAGAGTTTGTCCTAAGGCCAATAATGTTTAGAAACTCAACATCAAAAAATGACTGTCATCAATCTACAACAAGCATTTAAAAAATTTTGGAGACGTACGAGGGATATTGTATCTACAATATTAGGTTAACTATACATATCTAATGACTCTCTTATTTTTTTTTTTTAGATTCATGATCAAGAAATTGTTTATTGAACTATAATTGACGTAAAATGGGAAACAACTCTCACTTATATTGTTTACGTTTGATATAAACTTGAAACATTTATCAAAAGTAATACGCACATTTTTAACAGACTCACTTACCCGAATAGAACTATCCACACTTACAGTATATTCAGATAAGAGATAGACCGGATGTAAACAAAAGGTTCGGGTAATTTTCACGCTAACGCCGCCGTCTCGACGTAAAACAGGAGCCCTCATTGGTCAATTCGCAATTAAATGCCTATGGCGAGCGGCAGAGCAGTCGTATCAAGGCAGAGTCACATTCAGGTTCAGACGTGTTACGTATGTCGTGTGCATCATTGCAATTTGATATTTCTTTGGACGTTTTCGTTTGTTATCTTATTAAGTTGTTGAGTTTGTCGTTGTTATTGTTATACCTTGTTATTGATTGTTATTTTTATCAACTGCTTGCGCAAAATGCCCAGTAGTACAGATACTGCCGATGAAGTTGTAAACTCCTGTAGTCCACCTAGGAAACGCTCTAAAAAAAGACACCTGAGTGCAGAAATGAAAGAGGTCATTTTGAATATATATAAGATCGAGCGCGAGGAGAACGAGGCATCAACCACCAAAGAAATTGTTGTGAAGGTTTCTCACAAAGTTGGGGTGTGTCGCGCATCAGTGTTTAATGTGTTAAGACAATACAAAAAAAATCACACCTTTTCTGAGCCAATGACGAGTAAACATCGCAAAAGTATTGTTAAATCATTGGATGAAGCTGATAAGCATGCGATTAGGAGGAAAGTGCATGAATTCTTCTTTAGGAATGAAATACCTACTATAGATAAAGTACTGCAGGAGGTAAATGGAGATACAACGTTGCCAAATTTCAAACTATCAACTTTCCATGCGTTACTGAAGCATTTAAATTTCAAATGGAAAAAACGGGGTCGTAATAGTTTACTACTGGATAGAGAAGAAATTGTGCTATGGAGGAGGGATTATTTAACAAAAACTGGGAAATATAGAAATCAAAACAGGAAGATTTATTACCTTGATGAAACGTTGGTAAACGCAGGACACACTACAAGTAAAGTATGGGTTGATGATTCTGTAACTTCATCCAGGAGGGCCTTTCTAGATGGACTGTCCACCGGATTAAAAAATCCAGCAGGTAAATACGAGTAATAGACAACAATCGGATGTTTTTCAAACCTTGGGAACAAGGTTCTAAACATTAATTCCAGGGGGCAGATAAAACATATTACAAGTAACAAAACTTTTATAACTTTCGATAAAATGCGTGGATGTTTTATTGTCATTTTCATTTGTTAGAACTTTTTGCTTCAGGCAGTAGCGATGATGAAAGCTCATCAAGCTCATCTTTCCAATAAAAGATGTCGTTCATCAAATTCGGTAAGTTATAAGTAATTATAAAGCTACTGTATTTTTTAATTAATTATTGACATTCTTGAACCCATTTTGGCAAAACCTATTCAAGAATCTACTTTCTGACAATGTTCAACCATGCACATTTTTTTACGTTTTAAACGTTTTAATTTGGTTACATATTTACCTAGAAATAAAAAAATATACTAATCAATATTCTAAAAGCAATTTTAAGAGATATACGATTATTTTTAATTTAGGCTAATTTAAACGCCATTTTGAGATTATATTCGACTGTATTTCACCAAACATCAGGCGGCATCCGAAGCTGGAAATCGAAGCGAAAATTTTGAAACCCTTATGTATATTTACATCATTATATATTTCTTACCCCACCCCCACATGATCCTATATCCATCACCAATCGTATACACATCGAATTGTGCTAATTTACTACAAAGTTACGCAAAGCAGCATCTACTATCTAAAATATGTACTGCGTGACTCTTAATACGTCCCTACCGAATGTTACAGCGTTCGATGATCACGTGGTCTTGTTTATGTCCGGTCTATCTCTTATCTGAATATACTGTAAGTTAAGATTACTATTGAAATCTCCTTGTGGTCTAGGTGAAAAAATAATGATTGTTGATTCGATGTTCATTCTGTGTGAGCGCAAGTATTAAATCGTTCATACCTCACAAACCATCAATTTCAGATAAAAGTTGATTGGACACTTTTTTGTTCAAAATGACCAGAAAAACTTTAATCGTGGTGAAAAAACACTTTTTTTAATTTATTTTAAAAACTGTTTAATAATAATGTTGATGCAATTTTGGTCCTGACGACTTGCAGCTTCGTTAAAGGTCCTTTTTGAATAAGATTTTACAATACAATGTATAGAAATATTCTCCCAAGCGGATCCGAGCATACTGGCATAGCACACAGAAAATCTGACAGTAGTTGCTATACACTGTTCGCAGTTGTCGATTCTTGCAATAGATGGCGCGTTGCGCTATTTTGGCAGACCGTACTTAATGAATAGAGGAAGTCCGTTGTCCAGACCAGAGACGATTGACTAGTCCTAGACCATGCTGATGAGTAGCCAAAAAGCACGAAACAACTGTCCATGGTTGTCTGTCAAAAAAAGTATCTTTTAGTACTCAAATCCAAATTTATCATGTGCTTGACGTGACACATGCTGCGATGCAAATTTCTCGTAATATAGACGCACCTTAACTGTACCCGACACTGCTTTGAACAATTTTAGCTTTTTTGCGACGATTTTAACAGAGCTTTGGAGAGCTTTGCCCTGAAGGGATAAATCGATCGTGCATGAATGGTAACGGCCCAACAAAAAATAAAGAGATAAGTGTAAGGGCGGTGTATACAAAACAGGCATCGAGAGATCAATAAATCGATACAGAAGGGGTTAAAAGCCTTCAAAGCTCGCAAAGCTTTCCCTTACGTGTAGCAGACTGTCAAGAGAGCGTGAAGAGAGTGAAATATCGCAGGCTACGGTTGGATGTTTATTACAAGGCTGGGACTTAAAATTCCCATTCACGGAAGCATACTACTGTTGGACGGTCCGTTGGCTGTTGGGGGATATAGGCGAGGTGACAGTGGGAGATGATCAATTTGATGTTAGCTCTCTGATAAGAGTGTCTCTATTAGAGATTTAATTGAAAGGAAGTCATATGACAGCCAGATGTCAGTCAGAATAGTAAAAATGCTAGCAAAACGTGATTGTGATGTTTTTATGCTGGACGATTATAGAAGATAACTCTTACGAGGTACCATTTTTTAGTGCACGTGCGACCATCTTGTAAACGATTTTGAGTGAATTCCCATTTTTTAAGCTTTTCTAAAAGCACAGAGTTGCACACAAAAAGGAGGAGCTTGTGCACTTGCACAAACTACGAGGAATATTGATAGTCAAATAAGCTAAATAAAGTGCCTGAATTTTGGAAACTATTCTTTTGCAATGCCCTAGTAATAATAATAACATAAAAGAATATAAATATTTCCTGAACAAAAATGTTCTGGTGCGAAGTTGTAAGGTTTGAATAACGTCACATGCTGGTTATTTTAAACTTTATCTTAATCACTACCTTCAAGACAATTTGCAGGAAATACAGATCTTTCTTAAATGGAAACGCCAGAAATGTGGAGAGCGGGAAACGTTGCAAAACAAAGCTCTAAGGCTTATGAGGGGGGACCTTGACGATGACTTGAAGGTTACATTAATTTTTTGACAGGATATTACAAGCTTGTTCATTTCTATGAATTTGTAAATGAAAATAAGGTTCATTTGTAGGCCAAACAGTTTTTCGCAGCATTTCAAAAAACATACTTTTCAAGATACCTCGTTTTCAGATATCTTAAGATGACCTTGAATATCATAGCCGAGGTCACGTTCAAGATTACCATTAGATGGTCCTGTCCAGACCCTACGACATTGTTATGCGACATTTTTCTGTAGAAAACGTATTCCTCTAGAAATTTCGATGTTTCCGTGCTCTTTGGGCGACTTGTATATTAGTATTTGCCATTTGATTACCATTCATTTCAGTTTTCGCTGAAATGGAGAATGCGTTACGCTATTTTATTTGCGCAGCTCTACAGGGTTATCCAAATTAAGTGTCCACCATTGGTAACTTTGTTATTAGTAAAAATACAAAGTTGTTTAAATTAGCAAACTAGTAGCATTTTTAACGCTGGTAAAAATGAGAAATAAAAAAAAAACAATTGAGAGTCGTTATTTTGATTTTTTTCAGTAAAATAACATTTTTTTAAATGGAAACCCCTGTATATTATATTTTTTTCTGTTAAAGCATCAAATTTTAAACAAAAAAGTTCATAATGACTTTTCCGCTAAAGTCAAAAATAAAGTCAAAATAACGATAAATATTTTAATTATTTGCAGTATTATAATATTAAGACGGCTATGAAAACAACATGGCGTTCGCGATTTGACAGCATTAAGATAAGCGACAAATTGTTAAACTGGACATACTCGCAACTAGAAGGCTTTGGAAAACAATGATAAAATCAAATAATGTCAAACATTAGTGTAAATACTTGTTTATAAGCTTTATTGTGTCATTAATTTAAAGAAAAATGTTCTCCCATGAAGAAAAGTGTGATATGTTAGAATGCTATTTAGTGTGCAGAAAATCCTCCTTGAGAGCAAGAGAATACTACAGTGAATTATATCCCGCTCGCATTCAACCGTATGAACGATATTTTCTGAGACTTTATCGAAAATTTAGGGGCAACGAAAA